TCTCTCTCTCTCTCTCTCTCTCTCTCTATATATATATATATATATATATTTGTATTTTTGGCAGTCCATGGTATTTACAGAACTCTCCTCCAGAACATTTCAAATGAGTTGTTTTTCTTCCTGTCAACTTTCTTCACTGTCCAGCTTTCTCTATCATACACAGAAAACAGAAATAGTATGGAATGAATGATTCCATATTGGTTGGCATATTTTCATGGGGGAAAAAAAAATGGATGGATTCTACCTCAATAGCTTGAAATGCCTCCATGGGTATGCCATCTGTTCCTGGTGATTTATTTCTCCCAAGTACTTTGAGAACATGTTCTCCCTTTTAAATATTAGAAAGGTTCTTGAGTTACTGCTGAAGTTAAAAATATGCTTTAGAGAATTCAGTCGTTAGAAGTCATTGGAATGCATCAGAGTGGGTGTCTCTTTCCATCTGACTTTCAGGAAAATAGGAAGGCTTACTGCCTTTGTAAATAATTATTAAAATTTTAGAAAATGTGTCATATGGCTCTGTTAGGCAGGTCAATCTGTGTGATTCCTTGGGGAAATAGCAGGGAGGAGAACTTTCTGGAACCCAGGTCAGAGCAGAAAAGCTGACTTTGTAGAGCAAAGGAATAGCTAACTTTGGGGGGAAGGAAAAAGGGAAGGAAAAATGATTTACAACTGAATACTAAAGTTAGAATTGTTCAAGCCATAGTATTCCCCATCACCATGTATGGGTGTCAGAGCTGTACAGTGAAGAAAGGTTATAAGAAGAAAATCAACTCATCAGAAGAGCGTTTAAGATAATGTGGACAGCCTAAAAAAGACAAACAAGTGGATCCTTGAGCAGATAAAGCCAGAAATATCCTCAGAAGCCAAGATGATCAAATTGAGGCTGTTGTACTTTGACCACAGCATGAGAAGGCAAGACTCAGTAGAAAAAAACAATAATGCTAGGAAATGTGGAAGATAGTAGAAAGACAGAATGGTCACACACCAAATAGATAAACTCAGTCAGGGGACTGAGTTTTGTTTTAGGGTCACCATTAGTCAGAAACAACTTTAGAGCACACAACAACAAGCAATGCATTGAATGAGGCATTAAGTTACTTCTCAGTTGCCAGTACTTTCTTAGTGCAACAATGACAGCAAATATCTTTTTATGACTTATCCATACTACACTATTCTAGCAATTTGAGATGGCAGTAACTTCCATGGCTCCACCCTACCAGATTATTGGATCTGTAGTTTGAAAAGGTGTTTCATGAACTCTAGGCCATTCCCCAGAACTTCTCCACTGGAGTTCTTAAACAGAAAATTTCAAGTACTGGGTGATACTACAAATCCCGAGATGGAGCCACATCATGTTAGTAGGATCAAACTGCTAGAACAGTGTTGTGTAGCTGTAGTATATAGCAACCAATAAAATGAATTACTTTTTAATAGAAACTTTTCAATCTCCAGTAATTCCTCACATTATTTTGCTAATTTTGCTTCTGACAGTTTTGCTAGTGGAACAATGCCAGCTCTTGAACTTGCCCCACTAGAATGAAGTTAGATACAGCCCTTTGTGTGCAAGAATTTGTTTTAATTTCTCCTAGTCCATAAAAACAGTCCCTGTCCTTTGTGGAACACACTCTCTCGGAGAGTAGTGGAGTCTCCTTCCCTGGAGATCTTTAAGCAGAGGCTGGATGGCCATCTGTCAGGGATGCTTTGATTGGGAGTTCCTGCATGGCAGGGGGTTGGACTGGATGGCCCTTGTGGTCTCTTTCAACTCTATGATTCTATGATTCTATGATTCTATGAGCTGCCATCATTGGTTGATGTTCAGAAACAATTTGCTCTGGGGCAGTCTTGGAAAAGTCCATCTATTTCAATGGAGTATTGTTAAGATTGTTCTAGTTCTTTGTCTTCTATAACTTATTCTTCCTTTCAGTTTAGCTTGTTCATTAAGTTGCTTGTCCATTTTCTTTATCACATGAATGTACACTAGCAAGATAGATCTGAAAAGCTGTTCCATTTCCATTACTGAAATGCCCTCCATGGATTCCATCTCAAACTCAATTAATGAACTCATGTATAATTAGTGATGATCTGCATGCAGTCTGATCTCTCAACCATAGTCCACTTCCAAGTTCTCAAATAAAGAAAAATGTTTACTTACTTCCTCATGGGCAAAATATGACTTCATAATAATCTTTTTTTCATTTCTACAAAAGGCAGTATAATTGAAACATGGAGTGGGAGTTTAATTGCCTAGAAGTTACATTCTAATTCCCCTCCCCCAATGCTAAGCTATTGCCAGGATAAGCTTTTGATACATTGTGTGATTCTGAAATGTCATTTTGCCATGGAAATTTATTATTCCTCTCAGATTGTCCCCTCATTCTTTTCAGTGATAAATGCTCTGAAGACTTCTTGAACAATGAAACAGCAAAGAGTATATTTGAATACTATTATATCACATTTCCTTCACACAAAGAAAGATCAAGAGTGTCATTTTCCTGAATTTGTTTTCTCCACAATTTTATTTTAAGAGAATACTCCTTCTTTGACAGAAGATCAATACATTGTGAACACATGGCACAGTGGACCCCAGATCAAGATATTCCAAGAAACAAGAAATTCATCCTTAAGTAAAGGAAGACCTGATAGGGGGAGACATATGAAGTGCCTGGAACAGCTGTGCATTCCTTCCATTTTTTCTTTTACTATTTCACCTATTACATTGTGGCTGCCATTAAAGCTCTCCTGAAACCAGTGTTAGCAAAGAAGTTACTGTCTTTCTCTTCTAGGAAGAGGAAGAGGAAGAAAACAGTTTCCAGGTAGCCATTTGAGTGGGTAAGTTTTTAAATTCTTTTTAAAAACACTTGGGGGGGAGTGTGACTGTGACTCAGCGGGTGGGGCTTTGTTGAGTGGCATTTGCAAGTCAATAGGGGGTGGGCCAGGCAGTTAGCTCTATATAACTGCTGCTGGAATTTTATAACCAGCAGACTTTAACACTGTTGTTAGCAAGGGATTTTCTTTGACGAAGAAAGCCGTAATCATCTTTCAGGTACTAATTAAGAGTTAGTATGGATACTGAAGG